GTCAACCATTCAACAAACGGTACAGACCATTAAAACGACATATAATCAACGGCCACCCCCCGCATCAACAAAACGTCTATGGTTCTAAGCACAGCATTGCTCAACGCCTACACACCGACGCACTGCAACGCATCGCCAACTTGCTATGCGCTGAAGATGTGACCTCGGTTTGTGACGAAAGACTTGCAACCAAACCATCTAGCTCAGCGAGTAGAATAACGACCATTTATACAACCTGAGCTACTAACATTCCCTTTGATAGCAAGCACTAGCTCTTACCCAGAATGGAAAGCATTCCGCAAGTCACGTGAACTTATTACTGGGATTGGTCACTAGAGGTGCTAACTATTACTAAACTGCTTGAGTAAAAGCTGAATGATCATAAAACTGTTGGTTACCAATCTGCTGGTGCCTGGTGATGTTCGGTTCCTGTCCTGAAAGTTCTGGATTTGAGTCCCGAGCGTCTTAGCATTAACGCTGTTGATGGTTCCCAATAAGGATAAAACAGTTACACCTATTAAATTTTCAGCTTTATTTGCTCACATAAGGTTTTGTTGCCTGTTCGGTTTTTCTGAACATCGTTCTGTCAGCGCTGGTCACATCTATAAATACATTTGTTGTTTTTGGTCAGAGAACGTGAGACATTGTTTCAACCCTCCTGCGGGATTCTCGTTATTCGGGGCTAGATATGACCCCATACAGAGTTACCAGCTGACATCGGGGTGACCGGTGGAATCGGTTTATGTCCAGGGTGAGGCCGCTCGTGACCGGACGGTTGTGTTCAAACTACTGGCTGGAAAGGGACGAGATGGTCCAAGTGGTTAGAGCGCGAATTTACTGACCGGAGGGTTCGTGGTCTGAACCTGACCTCTGCCTCTGGGTTTCCCCTGTCTAGGCTTGGGCAACCTGGCAGTATCCCAGCCCTTGTCCTTCCTTGGGGTGGCATGGCAGCTAGGCGCCGAAAGGGTGTTACAGCTGAACGATTCGATTTTTTTACTAGCCGGAAGATCACCAGTTGGAAACTCCCTCTGTTTTGTGAGGTGCGCACCGCTGATGGCCCTCAATCCGGATGAAACAGCTGTTCAGCGCTCAGCTTTTCACCTGACCTTGTCTGGGGTCGGGCAACATGGGAGTATCTCAACCCTCGTGCTTTCTTCGGGTAGCATGGCAGCTAGGTACTGAAAAGGTGTTACAGCTAAATGGTCGTTTGATTTTGTCATTGTGCCCCTATTTTTTGTCCGGTTGCATTAGGGTTTCCTCTCGTGAATTCACCTTGACTATATCTTATCGGTGTTTCCCGACCTAAGGCTGCCACCTTGACGTGGTGGTCGGGCTTGAGTGCTGCAATGATCCCGCGGGCTACACTGGCTGGAACTTCGTTCCACAAGGTGCAACCATGCCAGGAAGCCCAAAGGGAAGCAGCCAGACCAAGAGCAGCGAGACCCCGTACTACGAGTAATCGTGCTACGAGGCGGTCTGGGGGTAAAGTCATACTGTCCTCTGCGACAGGAGTGTGAAGGCAGTAAGGTGTTTCCCCCAGGCGACCAGCATGTCCATATTTATGGAAGCAGCGATGCTGCCTTCCCCCAAGGAAGGACGGGTTAGAAAAGGTCGGCCCCAAAAACCGC